CCTTGTGGTTAGGCTGACGGACTCGCTACTGAAAGATCGACGGTCCAAATCCCGTCCCGGGGACCCACGATAGCTTACAGTTTACAGTTTGTAACTGGTCGGACTGCGTTGAAGATGTCCCTAGCTTGAATCCCCAGCGTGACGTTCTAGAAATTGGGAAGTCCGAGGAGTTATCACAGATCTCCACGTACATAGCTTGGTTCTATCGGAAATTGGACGTAAAATTGGGATGTCCCGCACTTTAAATGACCGTAAAGTATTCAAATGGGCGTAAAAGCCATAACATACTATACCGACATTATTTTTGTATATCTACTATAATGTAATAAAAAACAACCAGGTCATTTCCCGGCGAGGCCATTACCAGGTCACAGCCCAATTCCGCCCCCGTGTTGCTTAGTTCCCCACAGCAAACGAGTGGTGTGGGAATCAAAGACCGGGGAAAGCGACTTCGTCGGTCACGAACCTCTGGCCTAAGAAAAGAGCACAAGAATATAAACTGTCAACAGAGAAAGAGTCCCAATCGATATTTAACTTCTTATGGCGTGCATACTCTGAAAAAACACCCCGCTATCTTCGTCTCGTCGCAGTACGTCGAGTGATTGAGTCGAATTCGATCAGATCAATTGCCGACTCCCTTCGAGATTTCTTTTGTTGACGTGCGTGGGGTTTTTCTTGATATTTGCATACTGGTCGTCTCCGGCGTCACGCACTCCGTGAAACATGAAAAAAAAAGGTTGCGGGTGACTCGCCTCAGTATCGGTGTGTTCATCAAATACCTTAAAACATATACGCAACAGTGCATATGATCACCTTAAACAGGTCAGATTGTGCGGAGCTGAAAGAGAATAATTTATTTCCCAAGTACCAAACACTTGAGTAGTTGGGGTTTTTTTTTAATTCAGATCACGTGTCGGGCCGACTTTACAAAATAATAATACATGTACTGCCTTTTCTCAATCTCCAATTAAGTATTTTCATGAAATCGCATATTTTTCTCAACTTCTATCAATCCTGTCTCGTCTAAACCAGTGCTGGGCCGCTGAAAGAACTACATAACAGGACTGGCGGGGTTTTTCAAAAATGTAACCCGGCTACACACACACACTTAATTCCCTGCAACCACTGATCTTTTTCAAAACACTTTTAACTACCGTGAGACAGATTGCCGGGCATATAAGAGACAGTAAAAAAAAAGACTGCAAGATAAGGACTCCACGTCTCGACCTTAAACAAAAATGAGACAACATAGCAAATGACAAAAATAAAGGGGAAATCCTAACTGGCTTTTACTTATCCTTACAGGCATTAAATAGTCTTAAATTAAAGCAGAAGACACATTAACTTACGAGGGGGTGTGTATGTGGCAATAAAGCAGCGACAGGGATTTGAGTGCGATGAATAAATCCAACAATTTCCGCTCAACAAACTTGAGGAAAGATACAGGCAGTCGTCGCAGCGATAACCACACTGGAGTTCACGTACGTAAATCCGAGTTGCTATCAGGCCCTTTGACACACACAGACGCGCATACCAACACTCAACACACAGCAGAGGCACACACGAAATCCAGAGATGATCAAAGGGGGCGGTGACGGCGAAGAAGCGCTGACATGAGAGTCGCTTTCTGCTTCTTGGCTCTATCTTCGAGAGAGAGAGAGAGAGGGAGTCAGTGTCCTGGACTGTCACGTCAGGGGACCCTACTAGCGTCGCAGTATTGGCAAGAGTGACTTCCCTTAGATTTACTGGGCCTTATTGCGACAGCAAGCGGTCGGTGCAGGATGTCATCTAGGCGGGGACGCACGTCTCGGAGATTCCTGTCATCTGTTACTGAACAGTCCCCGTTCCACACCGTTCCGGTAATAAACAGTTTGACAATTTGGAGGGGAGCTCGGAAAGGGAGGTGGAGAAAAA